CAACCTATACCCAACTAGGGGACAGCTGCCTGTTTTTCGCATGCAATAGTGTAAACAATCTCCCTCCCTCTCTCTCCCTCACACACACAATTTTCCAAATATCGGTGCTTTTACTTAGACGGCCGAAATGGAACCGAAATGAATTTCAACAAGGAAGATGGAGCTTTCATCGTTCAAGTGAAGTTTTATGTCTTTCAGTCCTGCCAAGCCTCCTGATCCCATAATTTTTCAGAACAAAACCTTCTTGGAATGCAGCACCATAAAGGACCTAGGCCGAAGTTGTATAAATCAGGCTACTTTATCACCTTATGCGGATAGAATCTTTACTAAATATACGCAGATATATGGGTTCCCATCACATATTTTTTTCTTCCGGAAATAGGGCTAGGACATTATCAACTGTTTGTTCTTCCCGTCTTCGAGTTCCATTTCCCTTTCTTGGATAAAAAACACACCTGTAACCGTAACAAAATCGAAAACTTTCAGAGAGTTTTACTCTAAATCTGTTCTCTCGAGGGGCATGTGGTATTTCTTAAAACTGGAGATGTCGACTGGCGAACGTTAGGTTTTTGTAGATGAAAAGACACGAAACTGACCTTTGCTGCCTGTTTCGCATTCATTCTAACTCTATTCTTCCGCGCTTTGATACTCTCACTCCAAGAGATCGGTCTTATGCTACGCGCAATTCTTCCATTTTGATTCCACCGCCTATTTGCTCTACATCTAGAAGCTTTCGTTTTTTCCACCTAGATACGCCTTCTTAATGGAAAATCTCCCAATAGAACTTATGTCATCGCTTAAATTATTGGTATCCAAATCGAAAGTATGTAAGCATCTTGCGCTGGGAAGCACAAAGCCAGCACTGACTGTTTCATTCGCGAACCTTCAAGTTTCGGACGTTGTAAAGGGTCCTCCTGGGATTTACTGGTAGATAATTCATCTTTTGCTCTTTCAAGTGGAAAATCTCACTTATAGTTTTACAACTTACGGTTTTAAATTGGCCACTAAAACCCATTGTTATTACTCGTACCTTAGAGCAGTGATTTTCGCTGTTTTTGATGTTGTCCCCACATTTCGACTCCAAGCAATTCGTTGACGAGCACGGCGGATTCCTATGTCTTTGCCATCTGCTAGTAGAGTAGTCGTCCAGCAAAGAAGCGCCATGGTCGCATCTCCCCACGCTTTGACGGCAGCCGCAGCCTCTAATGTTCATCCTCGTTTGAAATGGAAGCATAATGTGGCCGATCGCGTTTGGTTTCCCCTCGTCTCGTTAACCTTGACGGGTGCCTCTGTTGTCAACGCAAAATATCATCATCGCGTCCGCAGCGAATAACCTCATTTGATTTAAGAATTGTCCCTTGACGATGTTCGTTTCGAACCCGTACGTTCTACCACACGTAGGACGGTCGCATCCGACTCGCATATTTAGCTTTCCATGAGCAACCGTTTTTTCTCCTTAAAAACTAATCGAATAACACTATCTTTGCTTCTTTCGAAAAAATTGATTTTTCTCACTGCTCGCTAACAATCTTTTCATAATAGGCTGCCTATTTTATAAGCACAAACTGAGTACTGTGTTGTGTATGCCCATTTGTTTCAAAATTCTCCCAAAAATTTATATTTGCTTACTATGACAGTACTCTAAGGGGTATCAAATAGAAGAATCTATCTGTTTTATTAAAACCTGAGTGGGGGGGGGGAATATTCCATGGGTTAACCACGCTGAAAGAGAAGTAGAACTTGCGCGCATCCAGTCTTGCCTGCTGAAAGCGAAGTTTTAATGAGTGATATCGGGTGTTGGCCGTGGTGGCCATTTCGAAAATTTTCTCAAAGACCAGACTGCTACTCAGTCTTTTTAAAACGCCCAATACTTATAAGATATCATTGAGCACTTGCCTCTAAAGTAAAGGAAAGCGAGTGAGATTTGTAAGGCGGTTTTCGAAAGAAACTGAGCTTTGACCCTTAACCAGTTTGGTGGTTGCGATTACAGGGACATTATTACGATCTATGACGCAGTCGGGACCTCCTATTCATCAAGTGCGCATCCAGACAAGAATTTCCAGTCAAATTTACGCTGTTCACCCTCCGCTTTGTTGTTTGTGATG